GGTAAATTGCTGAATGAGCAAAAACCTTCAGATCAAAGATTTGTACAGTAAAATGGTATTTGTAAACGAGTACTGTGATGAAGTAGGTAATGTTTTTCTGCCTTGAGTTTACAGCTTTTTGAAGTCTTACTTGATAAGAGACAGATTTGTAAATGAAGGAAGGTGTGGGATTGAACATGTTCTTAATGTGCAAGAACAAAACTTTGAGCAAGTTTATCTGTTCTAAATACTCAGACTAACCTAACATCTCATTTGCACTGGTATTATTATTATTATTGGTAGATTCAGAGACATCTAGTGGTTTCTATACAGATAACAATCAAGACCCTGTTCACAGCCAGCAGTAAAATGTATCCTCCTGAGTGATGGAGTCAGTCTACTGCATTACAAACAGAAACAAGAACACATTTCTTTTTCACACATTTATCTGTCATCTGTGTAACAAGGAGGCACATCAGCTGATGTTTGTGAATTACAGGGCCAATTTTATGTGTTTCTCAATCATATAGTTCAACTCTATACTAAAATCAAGTAACTGTCACCTTCAGTTGTTATTAAAAGGCTGTCAATTTGTATAAATCAAAAATAAATTAGACTTTGCATCATAGCCGTTTCCTCTGTCTCTTTAAGAACATCCTACAGCTTTCACCATGCCGTTTACATCCTGGAGTGTTGTAGCCTATTTTGTTGTAATGATAATTAAATAAGCAGCAACATTATACAATATTGGTTTTGGAAAATTGCAACTCAGGATACAATTGAACCTTATTGTCAGACTGGAAAGTACGTTTTCTGAAGAACTGGAGCGGGTACAGAGATGACGTTTCAGCTTGGCAAGATAGCCCCCAGTCATCCTCACACAAACACACATCAATGTTAAGCTAATTTATTTATTACTAAAATGTGGAGTAAGCCAGCTAAAGAACGCAGATCGTAATATAAGTTATGAACGCTCACCATACATCACAGATAGGACCAAACAACCGATCAAAATAATGTGAGTTGTTTTTTCAGCTTAACTGTGCAGACTACAACAATGTTTGTGTACTTCTGAGTGATGAAATTTCATCGTCTTTTAATGATAATCATGTTATTAGGCCACTGTTGAATTCCCTTTTGTTCAGAAAATTATCATTCATAAAGTGGCTCGCACAAATATATAAATAATTTCTTTTTCGTCGGAGGGAAGTCAAACCATTTCCTTTTTTTAAGCAACTTCAGTAGAAAACAGAACTGAATATTAGTTTCTTCATCATCAGTGAATTTTTTTATAAAAGAGAAGAATAAGAGAGGAAAAAGGAGAAATGTAATGAGGAAGATTGAAAGAGAGATTAGAGAAGACATATGAAATATAAACCAAGAAAACACAAGACAACACACCCGACATCTGTCTGCACACCTGTAAAAATGGAGAAAACAAAAACATAGCTACAAATACCGTGTATACTGTGTGTGTGTATGTATGTATATGTGTATATACAGTGGTTTGCAAAAGTATTCATACCCCTTGAACTTTTCCGTATTTTGTCACATTACAACCACAAACATAAATATATTTCACTGGAATTTAATGTGAAAGACCAACACAAAGTGGTATACAATTGTGAAG